CGGTATATAATATTATTATTATGATGTATATACTCAAATATATAATATACAATATAATTTAGTGCCAGCCTAGTTTTATTACTAACGACTAATTGTTACGATACTTTACGATTTGCTATTACAATAATTAGTAACGCGATTAGATTAATAACATAAATTATTATGTACATTTAATACATCAATTTATTTTTTTTCATTACAAYGAACCATTAAAATATGATTTTTAATTGCATCATAAAAACATTTTTATTGCATAATATCGTGAATATGTATATTATGTTTATTGCCACTAATGTTTTGTTTTTAAATTATTTGAGCATMGATTGCTTTTTTCATTTTTAGGTTTCTCAGACACGTGTTTGATTGATGACTTGACGTGTATGTTTTTTAATTTATRTATTAATTCTTATTAATTATTCCAGTAAAATTAAATTATATTAAAACTTCCATATAATGGTCATACAGGGCCCGTCAAAACAAACGTGTTTTTCAAAATGATGTTATGCTCAAAGTAATTTCAGTAAAAAATATTTTATTATATCAAAAAATGCATACGCATTATGTATGTAACAAAATTTAGGTTTTGAAAATAATGTCAGGCATATRGCGCCCTTGAGCCACAAAGTAGGGATGTACGAGGCACTCGCGAAACGATCCTATCGCGTCGATTAACATATCTGTCCCAAAACTTTTCTCACCACTTGAGTGAGATCTTGAATCTTTTAATTCATCAAGGGTTCGTGATTTGTATTGGCAGACTTTTGATTTTATGTGACSYCACCAAAAAAGTCAAGTCAGGGGAGCAAGGGGGCCACGAAATGTCCACAAAATGCGAAATGAGCCATATGTATGACATTGTTTTCAAATTATAAATTTTTTTACATATAAAAACTRCGTATGCATATGYATTTTTTGATATAGTAAAACATTTTTTACTGAAATTACTTTGAGCGTAGCATTATTTTKAAAAACATGCGTTTGTTCTGACGGACCCAATATAAGGGACAKAAAATAATATAAAGGCCGCTATTTTGAGATGGTAGTCAGTMCTTTTAAATGATTGCTGACATAAGTGAAATTTAAAGGCAACTGGCTAAAATATAGAGC